GGGGGCCGCGGGCGGCTCGGAGGCGGACCCCTGCGCGGACGCGGGCGGCGGCGCGGCCGCCAGCGGCGCGGCCGCCGGCGGCGCGGCGGCGTCGTCCGCGTCCGCGTCGGGCCCGGCGCTCGGCAGGGGCTCTCGAGGAGCCGAGGCGGCGGATCGGCAGCAGGGTTTTGATTGGCCCCAGGGCGCGGAGGGTCAGCTGCAGAGCCGGTGTGCCCCCAGGGGCCGCGGCTTCGCGTCGGGTCAGCGAGAGGGGCGCAGCAGGTGCCGTGGGTCTGCGGGGCATGCTGGAGGAGGAGGAGGAGGAGGAGGAGGAGGAGGAGGAGGAGGAGGAGGAGGAGTAGGAGGACAGAGGGGGAGGGGGAGGAGGGGAGTGGGGGGGGGGGGGGTGGAAGGGGGGTTGGGGTGGGGGGGGGTGGGGGGGGGGTAGGAGGGGGGGGAAGGATGCTGCGCGACGTTCGTGGGCTCGGCGAGAAACGAAGTCTGGGGTGGACTGCTTCTGCAGTCGAGCCTCCCGCTCGGAGGGTCCAGGTTCGAGGATGGGGCGAAGGTCGAGATTCGAGGATCGAGGGTGGAAGATTTTTGTTTGGGGGGGAGGGTTGAGGATCCAGGGTCGAGGATGGGGCGAAGGTCGAGATTCGCGGTTCGAGGGTGGACGGTTTTTTGGGGGAGGAGGGTTGAGGCTCCAGGGTCGAGGATGGGGCGAAGGTCGAGATTCGAGGATCGAGGGTGGAAGATTTTTGTTTGGGGGGGAGGGTTGAGGATCCAGGGTCGAGGATGGAGCGAAGGTCGAGATTCGAGGATCGAGGGTGGAAGATTTTTGTTTGGGGGGGAGGGTTGAGGATCCAGGGTCGAGGATGGGGCGAAGGTCGAGATTCGAGGTTCGAGGATGGAAGATTTTTGTTCGGGGCGATGAGGTTCGAGGATCCAGGGTGGAGGATGGAACGAAGGCCGAGATTCAAGGGTGGAGGAGGGAAGATTGGGGAAGGGGTGAGAGGATCCAGGGTCGAGGGTGGAATGAAGGCCGAGGTTCGAGGATCGAGGATGGAAGATTTGGTGGGTTGAGGTTCGAGGATCCAAGGTCGAGGATGGAATGAAGGTCGAGATTCGATGATGGAGGATGGAAGATTTTTTGGGGGGATGAGAATGA